CAAACATAGACGTGACTTACACAAAAGTTTTGGAATGCAAAGTTTTTTCGTACTCTAAAAAATATTTTGATATAATAATTCAATTTTTTTTTATTTTTTGAGTTACTTAAGCCCTCTTAAGATTGTGCCTATGAATATACATCATTTTTTAAGCTTTTGAACGAGCCAATACTTTTTAGTCGAAAGGAATAATAATATATTTTGGCAAGGATTAAAATAAATTGAAAAGTAAAATTTGAATGTTTTATAATTAAAATGAATATTAATGATATATAAATAAAATATTTACCACAATCTTACTTTAAAAACGGTTTATTTATTTGTTATTAGTTATTAATTATTGTTATTAATAATGAATAAATAATAAACATAGATCTGTTATGGAGGTATTCTTAATTAACTATTATATAAAAAAATAGAAATTGATAGAAAGGCTTGATAATAAGTTTTAGTACCTCTAGAATTCGAGAAAATTTATACATTTTATAATATAAAATTTTAGGAAGAGGAAAATTAGAATATCACTCCAAAAATATTGTTATAATTGCACCAAGATTAAAACTTTTTGAAAGTGTCATAGATTTTGGATTATAGAAAATGGTAAATAGCTCATAATATGCTTTTTGGTATAAATCATGTATAATTTTATTGATTTCATATTTATATACATACTCTAATAAGAAAAATAAGTAATATATTAAAAGTTATTAGATTAGTGTTTAAGTGCACAGTTTAATTATCAAGCTACATGGTCAATTTTTTCAAAAGAAAAAAAAATAATAATTTATTTAAATAGCATAAATAGAAAAGGACTTTTATTAACAATTTTTTTTCAGAAATTAATGTAGTTATTATACAAAGAAGTGTTTAATCAGCGATATAAATAAATAAAACAACGTGATATAGTTAATTATTTATTACGTTTTAACCTTTCTCTAGTTCAACAAACTGATAATGAACTTCATAATAAACTATATGTTTTGTAGCGATTTCAATTTTGGTAGAGCTCTTATTCTACTTCTATGATTATAAAAAGTTTACAACTCGTTTTAGGTGAAATAAATAAACGTGTTTTATAATATAAAACGCGATGTCGTTTATTATGAAACAGCTAATGTAACTGAATTTATATAGTAGCAATGTCTATAGCACTTTATCACTGGAAACATAATCGGACCAACTAATATTTTTTCTCTATAGATAAACTAATTCGTATGTCTAAAATATTCACACGCCATCATTATTTTACTTAGACCGAGCTGAGATGGCTGTTAGACACTCATTCAGATTTAATTTAAGAGGTAAAAGGGATCTAAAATAATTTTTTCATATGCCTATTTTAATATTTTCCCATCAAACCTGACTAATAAACTGAATAATGACGAGAATACTTACCTAGTAACTTTTACAGCAGTGTATTTCTTTTTAATTTAATGATATAATTATAAATATAATTTATAGAACTTGTAAAGTTTCAAAAAATCTATAGTTAAAAAAAGTTATTACATATGCAGTGAAAGCAATCGTTATACCAATTAAATCGTTATTATTATAGAGCAAAAAATTGTTTAATATAGTAAACGTTTTGATCTTGACTAAAAATTAACTAAACATGTACCTTTATAAAAAAGTATATTGGCTATCAAGAATTATATTTGACAAATGCTTTTAAATAATATACATATTGGTATTTTTTTTTACATTTTAAAACTAATAATATTATTTAATTTAATATCTAAAAACCTGAAATTTAATTATTTGATTCATTTTCCTACAATATGTCGCTTTAAGTTATCACAAATATTTATCTATAATACAGAATTATACATTTTTTATATTTTTTTTTTCAACAAAAAACTCAACTTCATTATTATTATACGCACTATGCTAGTAAATTCTATATACTATTTCATATTTATGTTATTTTTCAAGCAAAAGCTAAAATGACATTAAAAAACAATAACAATTGCACTATTACATTATTTAATATCCGGAATATCATGATCATAGTGGATGAGTCATTAAAGATTTTCTAATTAGTTAATAGCAGTTAATTAAAATTTCTATTTGTAATTATAATTTTATCTATTAACTGAAACAAACAATTGTAATTTATAATTGGTAATCTTTTGACTTGAAAAAACTCACCATCATTGTCAATTATTATTATGCGTTAAAATATTGTAGTAGTCTAATTTCAATAAGAACAATTATTAAGTGATATATTTTATATAATATTATGTACAAATTTGAATTATGTAGTGTTAAGGTTAATGATGTCGTTTGCACCTAACGAAACAAAATACTGACTGTGTCATTTCAAAGTAATAGTGAATTACATATAATTTTTTCATTATTTAATTAAAAATTAATTTAACATAAATGAATATCGCAAATCTATTTTGATAAAAAAATATAAAGACAAAAAAGCTTCATGACATATGAAATATCCTTGCTATACTAAGATACTATGCTGTTAAAACCGTTCATTTCATTGTTTAAAACTAATAGCATTTATGGATTTATAGTGTTCACTCCTTGTATAAATAAATGATTATTCTTTGATCTCCCTTAAACTTAAAAGACTTGTAACACACTGAAATTGAATGAAATAAAACAATTTTCTTACAAGCAATCCTTTTTTTTATTTAGTCAAACCCAACGGTAAAAAAAAATAAGGTTGCCATTTAAAAAACAAAAGTTTATAAACGTTTAAGGCTTAACAAGTAATGGTAAAAATTTAATTTTTTCTCATAAAGTATAATTCATCAAAGAATTATTGTTGCAAAAAAATAATAATAATTAACACTTATATTTTGAAAAATATTACGTGAAGCCTTGATAAGAATTTATCCTGAAGTCATTAGTATCTCACAAATATTGCTTTAAATCTTATTATTAATATTTTATCGTCTTACGTTTGTGTCTACTGAAACTCAATAAATAAAATGCAAGTTATAGTGTATAAAAAGGGAATTCCAAGGTTTTCAATGCATATCAAAATAATGGTAACAATTATTCAATATAATAAAAATGTATGCCTTGTGGCTAAAATTATTTAAAATAAAAACTATATTAAAACATTAATTTAAAACTAAAACTAAAAAATATTAAAAATATTTAAATAAAAATATTACTATAAAATCTTGCGGATACGTATTTCGGAAACTATGTTTATCATTATCAACGCCAAACGCATATGTATGTGCTTAGCGTTGATAATGATATCAAAATTTTAAAGTGGTTTTTGAAGCTTTTTTAGTTGAATATCTTTAGTTTTAAATTAACATTTTTAATATAGTTTTAATTTTTAATTATTCTATGTATTTCAGTAAAAATTTAATGTGATATTTTCCAAACAAAGGGCTTTTTAAGTATTTATATTTGAATTATGTCATGATAACTTTTAAAAAGATATATTCAAAAATTAAAAAAAGTATTTATAAAATTGTTATAGATACTTCTATAGACATTTTTTGGTCTATAAAAGTTAAGTTGTATCACTAAAATGAAATTTAAGTAAATATGTAAGTTACTTGAAAATATTTATATTATTTAAACGTGTACCTTTAAGTTTAAAATAAAAATATCTCATTTGTTATTAATTAAATTATAAGTTTCTTCTTTTGAACGATTTGGCTGAACCTAAACATTTTATTTTTTACCAAACCGGTTTAATTCATTTGTTTTCTCACTCGATAATTACCAGTATCCATTAGAAAAATGAAATAGCAAAAATATAATTATTTTCATAATCCACGTGTATAAAAAATACCAAGGTCGTGGATATTCCCATGGAAAATTTAATATACTATGATGTTTATAAGCTATAAATGATCCTTATGCTTACCGTATTACTTATTCATGGCATTTTCCTCTTATTATTTTTTATTTTTTAACGATGAAATATACTCAAAAGTGCAAATTATATGTCATTCTAAATATAAGCTACAAGAATTTAATTTTTAATTTATAAGTTATATAATTTTAGAAAATTATATAGCTAAATGAAATAAAATATGATCTGTACAACATGAACAATATAGGCGCTATACAATTAAGGTTTCACTTAAAGTACTTTTATTTTTTATTCATTTAATCAAAAATCTTTAGCAACGTTAAATATAAAACAAAATTATGAGACTAAATTTCAAAAATATGTGAAGAGTTGGTTTTTTTTTGTTACCTATCGGAAAATGGGTCAACTTGAGGTAGTTAAATATTTAACAGATTTTATCACTTTTATTTTTGTGAACAAATATTTTTTATTTTTTTTATTTACTGGTTACCTATAGGTCGTAGACGATATTCTCAAACCTTCTCAAAAAAAGTACAGTTGAATTGTCCAACACTTAAAAGCTTTCTAAATTATTAAGTTTATCTATGTATCAATTAACTATCTATGTATTCAATCCTAATCATTTTCATACTTCATTAAGAAGCATGAATATTAGCCTTAATTAAAGGTGATCGGATATCTATGCATACATTGAAAAAAAAAACTTTTTTTTTATAAACTATCATAATTTGTCTTTATTATTTTTTTTTTTCACTTAATATTAGCCATAAGTGATCTACAATTTCTATTTTTTATTTGTTTTGATTGTGAATTTGATTCTATTTATAAATAATTGAATTATACAATCAATTATTTACTTCATAAGATAAGTGTTTAAGATTATACATACTGCTTATGCATTATTTTAAAAACGATTTAATTGAGCTTAATTAAAAAATAATTCAATTTAAAGTTCAAAGTTCACGTTTTAATGTTAAAGTTCACAGTAAAGAATTTCAAATTAACATAATCTGTATAGCGTTTAAAAATTATAAATGAAGATAATTTCGTTTGGTACCCTTTGTTATAAATTTGTAATATTTTCATAAAATAGCTAACCTTCAACTTTTATAATTCAAAAATAAAATCAGCTGAATATAATTTATACATAGACGCAATCAACTTGACTTCGATTGAGCATTTATATACTGGTACACGAGTAGATCTAAGAATCAGTAGTTCTTTGACTATCGTAGTATAGTTTTGAATTCTTTAATCAGGTGATGATCAATGAATTATTGGATTACTTTTTTATATAAATAAGCATTAATTTATTTAATTAAACTCGACATCCAATCAATAAATTATTGAAATGTTACATTTTTTATCTGTAATACTGTTGTACTTTTTTTTATTGACTACTGATTGTTGTGGTTTTAGAATTCGTCGAGAAGGTAAGTACTTAAAGAATTCAAATTGAACTATAAAAATATTTCAGTAATATTACATATCTTTGTTGGACGACTAATATTTTGTATCTTAAAATAAATGTATTTTGAACATTATTCAATTGTAGGTTGGCTTCCCGTAATATTACAAAATTTAGTAGATAAAAATAAATTTGCCTTGTTAAAAGCATAATAAATTAAAAATAATAATGAACGAATATTATATTATAATATGATATTATATTACCTTTATATTATTTAAAAACAATATTTGAAATTCTCGAGAAATAAATATTGAAATAAGTACTTTATTTTTTACTATACAAATAAACTTGTGTGTTTCAGTTCATTTTCCAGGATACAGTTACTGTGGACCGGGTACACCATCAGAAAGAATAGCTAAAAACGAGACAGGTATTAATGGATTGGATGAAGCATGTCGATACCATGATTTAGTATATGACCGTACAAGAGCTCTTAGGCCAAGAGTAGAAGCAGATATCAAGTTGGAAAATGACGCTTGGGCTCGGGTAGAAGCAGAAGATAGTGAAAAAGGAGAAAAAACAGCGGCATGGATAGTCGCTAATGTAATGAAAATAAAACATAAATTGGGAACTAGATTAATAAAAAAAATAGAATGTCGATGTAAGTATAAATTCTATTAAAATTAAATATTCTCAATATAACAAATTAATTGTCAATTGGTTTTGACCGAGATGTTAGTAGATTTAGTTATAAAATAAGAATTTACTATTTTTAATTCTTACATCAAAAAATATCTTATATTAGTATCTTCATAATATGTACATCGTTAAACATTTATAGAAGATACAAATATTAACGAACAAAACTGAACTCACATGAACATTACTTAATCAAATTATAAGATTGCTATAGATGTTTCAGAAATAATTAATTATTTCTTTTACTTTTAAAAACAATTATTTTTTACTATCACTATTAGCTTTGCTATACCTTCTCGGTTTAATAAAAGTTTCCTTGTACCAAAATTATCTACAAGTTTGTTTTTATACCAATCAGGGTTTTAAGAGATAAATATAATGAGACTTTCTGGTGTCTTCTGCGCAAGTATTACAACCAATGGTAATCTCCACATTTTTCTATCACGTAATATAGATTTTAAATTTATTCAAATGTTTTTAATATCCTTAACAAAAGGATACCCTAAAAATATTTTTGAGATATATGACCTATATTATATATTAGAACAAAAAATAACTTTATTAAAAATAGAAGCATAAATATACGTTGCATTCTTATTGAGGTTTAATTATAGTTAAAAATTATACTAAAAATTTATATTTATACCAGTCGTGGATTTAGGTTAGGACCTTAATGAAGCTGAAAATATGATAAGGTAAAAAAATTATTTTTGCCGATTGAATAATTTGTTTTAAATCGTGTTCCCTTTTTATAATAATTTTTTTTTGGCAGCATCTTCTTAAATTAAAAATTGCAGACTAAAATGAATAAATTTTGCAAGTAGGGAATGTGAAACCCCCTCCATCATCCTTTCTCCTAGATGGTCCTAGTTAGGAAGAGTATTTAAAAGCTGAAACACCCACCGAATTTTACAGATGTCAAACTATGATTATATAAATATTCAAACTTCTAAATAATAGATTATTATACAAAAAAAGATTCATTCTAAAATAATTTAAATTATTAACTAATATTTTTCACTATTCAAAAATTTTTATTTAAACATTTTATTAAGAAACATATATTTTATACATTTAAGTCAATGTTATTATTAATATTTTATTATTTTTTAGTAAAAATTGATGCAGAAATCCTAGATGATCGTGAACCAAACTGGAATACTAATGCTTAATAAGAATACAAAATAAATACGTAGTACTTTAACTTAAAAGAAATCAATCCAGAAAAAATCAATGAAATTAATTCATTAAAGAGTTGTAAATATTATTTAGAATTTTAATATACCATAACGAAAAATATTTTCAATAATTAAAATTTTATTTATGATTTGGTGTCACGCGGATTTAACATAAACCAATTTTATAAAATTATTATTTAGATTAATTTAATGTTTTCATACATTGAGTATTACTAAAATTATATAAAATTGTTAGTAGTTTTTTATAAGCATTCTATGGTATTTTATTTACTATTTTTATATAAAACATAATTGTAATAATAACTGAACTCTTTTTAGATCTTGACTTGATCAATTCAACTGAAATTTACAGTTATATTATTAATAAGATATATATAATAATTTATATTTCTATATACAGGGTGTAAATCTTTCGAACCATAGTAATGTATGGGCGAGTATCCTGGTAAAGTGTAAAATAGGACCTCGTTTTTTTTTTTTTTTTGTTTTCCAAAATTGGAGGAATTTTGGAATAACCCCCCTGAATTTCTCTAAAATTAAAAATAAATCATATCACAATATTTCCCGCAAAATTCTCATATAAATTGAATGGTCACTCGATTTTTTGTAATTTTTGCGCCCTCCCCTGAACTTTGGGTTCAAAGTTGGAAAAAAATTTCACATTAGTGTGACCCATCAATTTGTATTGAAATTTCACCGGGAGTTCTGTGATGTAGTTTATTTTTAGTTTAATCGATTAAATAACAAGAAAGACCGAAAAACCCACAAATAATGTGATATTTTTTTAATTTCATGAATTTATTACGTCTTTTATTATTTATTCAAACCGACTATAATTTTTATCATTGAAACTGTTATAAAATTATAAATTTTTTTCTTTTTAGGTCGGGAAAATAAAACAATTATAATATTGAAATGAATATTTTTAACTTTATTACAATAGGGTAATTAGAAATAATTATTTTAATGTAATCGGCACACTACTCTTTTCCGAAATTAATCAATAATGAGAATATGGTGCATCACTGAGCTTGTTAATGTTTATTTAAATGTTCGAAAAATACTGTTCACTATTGAATAGTCACTTATTAAGTTGCACATAATATTAGATAACCTTGAAAATATAGCTTCTTTTTTTGTGCAATAAAAATGCATAAATATTACATTATTTGTAGGTTTTTTCGGTTTTTCTTGTTATTTAATCGTTTATACTAAAAATAAACTACATCACAGGACTCCCTGTAAAATTACAATACAAATTGATAGGTCACACTAATGTGAATTTTTTTTCCAACTTTGAACCCAAAGTTCAGGGGAGGGCGCAAAAATTACAAAAAATCGAGTGACCATTCAATTTGTATAAGAATTTTGCGGGAAATATTGTGGTATGATTTATTTTTAATTTTAGATAAATTCAGGGGGGTTATTCCAAAATTCCTCCAATTTTGGAAAACAAAAAAAAAAAAAAACGAGGTCCTATTTTACACTTTACCAGGATACTCGCCCATACATTACTATGGTTCGAAAGATTTACACCCTGTATATAAGTAAAATTTTATCATATGATCGTCCATGAAGTAGAAAAAGTGTTAATTTTATATATATATAATATGAAAAAAATTATTCACTAATGTGAATTAAAATTTTTTAATAGTATTAACTGTGATATTACTTAATGTTAACAATAAATTAGCTATGTTTATAATGTTTTCATAATAAATTTATTACCACAGATTGACAAAAAGTTTTAATTTTTGTGAAAAAATATTTTTACAGAATGTATCAAATTAATAGTTACATATTACAGATAGCCGTTATAAATCCAAACTACGAGGTGTGTTCAGAAAATAACGGACATTTTTAAATTTTGCGAGTTTGGAGATTCGAATTATCAAAAAAGATTTTTTATAATATTGATAAACATGTCCCTGAAGTATGATCAAATTTTCAGTTGGATTCATTTTTTCCTTTGTCAGTGGCATCCACTAAGGTTAGACGTGTTTTTATAAGCTTAGCGATTTTCATTTGTTAAAATAATGTCTTAAAGGATTTGTATCAAATTTTGCATAAAAAATAAAATTAAGTGTAACAAGTGTGGTAAATGTTAATGTGAGTCTGTCGTGAGTAAAACAAGGGTTTACTAGTGATATAAGCCTTTCCAACATCAACAACCGAAAAGAACGTTGAAAAAGTGAAAGAAATGGTTATGAGCGATCGCCAAATCACAATAAAAGAAGTCGCTGATGATGTTGGATATCGATTAGCTCATGCCATGAAATTTTTCCTAATGTTTTAGGTAGAAACGCAAAGCAGAAAAATTTGTTCCAAAATTATTGAATTTTGAACAAAAACATCGGAGAATGGAACTTGCTCAGGAGTCATTTCATGAAGTTAACGACGATGCAGAATTACTGAAATGTGTTATAACAGGTGATGGATTATGGATACGACGTCAAAACTACAGCTCAATCATCCCAGTGGAGACATTCTGGATCGCCAGAACAAAAAAAAGCTCGACAAGTGCGAACGAACGTAAAGGTTATGCTCACTATGTTCTTCGATTTTAATGGCAAAGTGCAACATGATTTCTTGCCACGAGGCCAAATAAGGAGTACTACCTACAGTTTCAACGCCGTTTGCGTGAAGCAAACCGAAAAAAACGCCCACATTTGTATCAAAAAAATTCATGGATTTGGCTCCACGATAATGCACCTGCTTACACTTCATTGCTTGTTCATGAATTTTTGCCACAAACTATACTATAACGATATCCCAGCCTGCATTTTCACCAGACATGGCTCCGTGTGACTTTCTTCTATGTCCAAAAATTAAAAGAACCTTTATAGGGCCGTTGATTTACAAGCATAGATGACATTAAAAGTGCATCGCTAAATGAGCTGAAGGCTATCCCAAAGATCGAGTTTGAGAAATGTTTTGAGAATTGGAAGAAACGTTGGCACAAGTTCATATCTTTTGGCGACTGTTTTGAAGGCGATAATATTAATGTAGACGAATAAATAAATATTTTTTTCAAAAAACGAAAATTCTCGTTATTTTTTTAACACACCTCTATATAGGTTGAATCAACTATAGTATACTCTTTACATAAAAGTGAACTGCTTGATAAATAAATATATTAATCATAACTAATCAAAATTAGAATATTGGATTGTGAACTTAAATAATATACTGAAGAATTTAAAATATTTGAAGTATCGTATTCAGTAATTTTTGATAATACGATTCATTTGATATAGTTTTATAATATTGCTAACAAATTCACGGCACAAACAATTTAACCAATAACCTCAAGATAAAAAATTATATATTTTTCAAATGACTGCAGAAATATTACACGACAACAATTATGACGTTTAATTGTTTAGAAAAAATTATTTCAAGATCTTATTACTAAAAATATTTTAACTTTTCTTTAAATATGTTTTAACATTTAATAAATGTAGTTTTGGGCATGTATTAAATACAACTATAATAAAAAATTTTAACTATTTCGGTTGAATTCCAAAAATATTTTGATAACAATTAAAAATTAATCACTTATTAAATTTCGAAAATTATCGATTTTTAATTTTGTAATTTTTTTAGAGATTTCCACCATTAATGGGAAACGAGGGAATTTTTTTTAATTTTTTAGAGTAATTTCTTCAACTAGATACGATTTGTGATCTTTTTACGTATCGTTGAAGGAAATCGGTTCGGTGGGAGCTTAGAAAAAGTGGTAATAGACACAAAAAAATAATATATATTATTTTCAATATTTATTACTATGTTTGGCATGAGTTTTATACAAACAATTACTTAGAACAATTCAATTTACATGAAATATTTAAATATAACTAATATAATTAGTTAATGAACTCTTGTAACATTAGCATTGATTATAAGACATGATTTAAGAATTTAACAAAATTTATTTCGATTTTATTATCTTATTTTTTTTATAATCGTTTTATTTATATAATATCCGTTGAGTTATACCAATTTCTACTAGTCTTCGCATTCAATATTGTGGTATATTTTGCAGATGACCTTTTTTTGTGGCTTTTGTTTGCCATAATTCTTTTGTAAATTTCGGTAACTTAGCGGTTTAACATTTGAAATAATTTTTCTAATGTGAATGTTTTTGATGAAGGATGATGAGGACCAATATAGTAAGAATTTCACTGCTATAATGATATTTAAGGATTCATCTCATTGTCTTACTATATTACATCTTATAATTTTAATATATCTGATAATTATCTTTTTTCGGATTAAGGCCAGTAAATTTTTTTTTTATGAAACTAAAATAATATAAAATTTATGTAAAATAATAATTCATTATTATTTGAATTGATTAGTTTAATAGAATTCAAATACAAGTAAAATAAATCGTAATTAAACAACTCCTTATATTTTTAATTATTTTTTTACTAGAAAAAATCTTAACACTACATTGATTACAAAAAAAAAAAAATTCGAAAAGATTAGTATGGATAATAATTTTAAATATGCAATTAAAAAGTTTCTCTCAAAAACCTCGAACGTCGCAGTTAGCAATTGGTTAATGATTCTGGTTTTGAAAACATAGTAAGTACAAAGTCAACGAATGATCCGTTTGTGTCCAGTTGTCTGTCCGCATTAGACAAACCGGCATCCTCAGCTCATCTAAGTCACCTTTTGATTACCCTCCTACTATGCTCCAGAGCGGTTGACTTATTAATTATAATATTATTTATCCATGTTTTTCTTTTCGATTAATTTTTATTTGGTTAATCCCATTCATCTTGAGACGAGTTTTCTGATGAAGAGTCGGAGCTAGAACTGCTCGACATCATATTTATCCGATGGAACATGGCCATATCTAATGGGTTCATTCTTCCAAGTTCATTTTCATCTAACTTTGCTTTTTCTATGACTTTATCCACTGGCTTCACCGGCTATAAAAAATTTAAAAGTCTTGTACTAAGGTTATATATATTTTTAAGAATTTTATTTTGACTACTTGGGCCACGCAACAGATTGTGGAACCATCACCTAGTGGCTAAATAAAAAACTAATCACTTATGTGAGGGACTTGATTATATAAGAAAAGATACCCGGACAATAAATAATTTATTATTATTAATTATTAATTTAACTAACACATACAAGATTATAATAAAACGAATCATTAATTTGTAAATTAATGTCATATATATATTTGATGATTCTTATGAAGTATTTAATGTATGATTCATAAATATTCACTTCATAAGTATGACAAAAAAAAAGTAAAAAATTAACTCAATGCAGAAATTTGGAAGAGTGTGGGAGGGCTTGTGGCCTGTTTATGCGAATTCACATGATTAAATTATTTATAAATTCATTGAAATACATATTAACATTTAATCATCTGGAAAACATGGATTTTTATATTACTTACATTAAGATATAATAAGGAATTTGCACCGTACTCAATTATTAATTGTTAAAAAAGTTTACCTTCAATTTGAAGCCACGTTTCCTTTCTTCCAATAAATTCATTGGTAGAGCGAGTCTATCAATCTTACCTTTGCTAGTAGTATTGTTATCCACTTTTGGATGCGTTGGTAGAGTTTGGAAAAGTGGCGGAGCTGGAGGAATAAAATCTGGAAAATTTTCATGTTTAGATAACATAAATAGTGACTTTCTATGTATATATACAAGTACTATTCAATGGATTCATTCCTTGAAGGCTTTTTTCATCTATATTTGGTTTTTCTAATACTTTGACCACTGGCTTTACCGGCTATATAAAATTAAAAAATCAAACACATGCTAATGTTTTATATATTTTAAAATATTTTGATTTAAGTATAATTAATATAGGTAAAATTATCTCATCTAACTTGATTTATAGTTCAAAATGTTTTAATATTAGGAAGTGTTAAAAATGTGATTCATTAATATATGATTCACTTCATAAGTACGAAAAAAATTTTTTAAAAATTTAACTATAATCACTTTATTGGGAAAATTTGACTTATAGGAAATTATATTGCTTACATTACGCTATAATATAGAATTTGCACCATAATTAATTATTAATTGTTAAACATTTTACCTTCAATTCCACACCGTGTTTAATTTCATTCATAAGATTAATTGGTAAAGCTGGTCTATCAATATTACTTTTGTTTTTAATATTATCATCTGCTTTTAAAAGCGTTGGTAGAGTTTGGAATAGTGACGGAGCTAGAGGAATAAAATCTGGAAGATTTTCATGTTTAGAAAACATATATAGTGACTTATTATGATAAAATTAATACAATACTTAAATTTATAAATATATACTATAATTTTTTTATTGTTTTTTTTTTATAAAATTAAAAAATATAGATTTACCATTAATTTGCCTTAAGTCCTTTAACTTGGTTAGTTTTTCGTTCATATTTATTTCTTCTTCCTTGCATTTTTCTGGACTACTACTATTTTTGATCAAGTAATCGGTAGACTCCCTTAAACAATTCTGAACAATTTCCTGGATAAATTCGGACGTTAAATCTTGAATCTGATCTATTAAATAAAATGTTGGTATAAATTATGGATACTTAAAGACATTTAATAAGTTGTGTAGTAGAGGTTCACTTCCTTATTTTTTAAACTTAGTCATTATATATCTTTATAGAATAATAATTTAAAATATGAATAACTACTTCGAATGATGATTTCCAATTTTGGGTCATTTAAAATTTCACGTTTTATTGATTCCTTTAAGTCGGTTATTTGGTAGACCATAGTTCTTTGTCCATTCTCGCGTTTTACTCGTACGCTACCATTTTTTATAAGATACTGGTTAGATTCTCCTGAAAAGTCTTGAATCTTATCTATAAAATGAGATATAGTTATAAACAATGAACTTATTAAAACATCTAAGCATTAGTGTAGTAGGGAAGTGTAAGAGGTCATAATAAATTAAATATAATAGAATATAAAGTATTTTCAAGGCACTAATAATCAACAAAATTCACGTATATTAAGTCGAATTTACAATTGACAATGCATTTATATTGAAAGGTTTTAATGTTTTCTTTTTTCAGAAAATTTGTTTGTGTTTTTGTAATATCTTATAATAAATTTAATTGGACTAAGTGTTTTCAGAAAATTACAAAAATAATGTGTAAATGCATAAACTTACAAGCTGTCCTTACAATTATATAAAATAACTACAAACCAATTTTCCTTTCATCAGTAGTACCCTTCGATGGCACTATCGGATGTAACGAGTCTCCACTCGCAGCAACTTTTGCATTTGTTCTCTTGATATTAGCACAATTTTTTTTATTCTTCGTTTGACATACTTTTCTTATAAAATTTATAAATTTACTAAATAGGCTTTTTTTTTGTGGCATTATTATATTTTATAGGAATAAAAACACTATTAATTACTCTTTAAATTGTACTAAAGAAAAATAATTAAATAATGAATGTTTAGACTAAAATTTCCATAGAAAATAAACTATTATTGTATCATAGTAATTGAAAATAATGTCTATTTTTATTAGCCAATTATTATTTCTTGTTATTTATGCTATAAAATAAATAAAAACATGACATTTTCTTTAGCTAATTTGTTCCTATTTTTTGTATGTAAAATTAATACCCTAAATGTAATTATGAAAAACGTAAAGATGTATTATCTCCGCTAAATAAATGTTAAATAAAAATTAAACGTAAATCTAAAACTAAAAAATATTTTACATACATACATATTAAAATTCCCAAAATTAATGAAATTTATAATTATTGATTTTTAAGAAAGTACTTTTTCATTAATATCTATATTCTATTAATGTTTGATATAATATTAAATGTGATTTACAGTTGACTAATTATTATAATAACTTTACTACAAAAACAGGATCGTTAATTCAGAATATGCTAGACAAGGGGAAACTTTAGATATTAATAAATTATGAATATATTCTCCTTTTAAATATTTAGAATTAGATTAGTCATTAAAAACTGTAAAAATTTCATTGCACTAGTGTTCTAAGCCTGTTGTAGCAATTGTACTATAACCTCAATAATAAATCGAAATTCCTATCCTGTAAAATTGATTCACTTTTTGGTCAAAACAGTGACCAAAAAAAAAAACAGTGTAATTTTTTTAGGGATTTCCACCATTAATGGAAAACGAGGGAAATGTTTTCAATTTTTAAAGGTAATCTTTTGACGTATTGTTGAAAGAAATCGGTTCGGTGAGAGCTGAGAAGAAGTGGTAATAGACACCAAAAAAATAAAAAACATCATAGTAAAATTAATATCTTCTAAGCTTCCCCCATCGAAGCTAAAAATATTTAAATTATTCTTGATGTAGGTCTTGAACAAATAAAAATATAATGTCCATTTGAAAAAAGAAGTTAACAAACTTGATAGATGTATCAATCATTCGATATAACATTGACGGCCTGTTATAGAAAGTGAACCGGAAATCCTGCGAAAAAAAGAGGAACGATACAGGATTAGAACCCGTGACCCAAGGCGTCGTAGAGGCAAATTTTACAACTAGGTCACCATGCACTTAAGATGCAGGTCCGATACACTGTTATTAAGGTTGATAAGGTGATATGAGGCTGAGGAAAACGCGATACCGTATCATACAATATGTTAATAAAAATAACTCTAAACTACAGTATGTAAAAGTCTCTAAATGATCTTTATATGAATTATTTTCGATTACCTTTCCATTTTTTATAGGTATTATAATTTTGAAAGAACTGTCTATTGAAAATATTTAAAGTAAATATATATTTATTAAGTTTTATTTTGTGATTTTTGAACATAAAAAAAAAGTCAACAACAGTTGACATATTATGTAAAAATTATTGCGATTCATGAATTATAACAAAATATCGCATAAATTTGTCAATAGAAGAAAATAAACCACCATTTTACCCGTGCAAGTATTTATCTAATTATTAGATATATACTTAAAAAACTTTAAAAAATCGTATACAAACTTATTTTTGTCTAACAAAAAATCTATATATTTAAATGATTCATTCATCCTTATGCAAAATCAATATATTACTATACTTTTTTACATATCAACTTTATACTTAGACCAATTTAAATAATTAATCCAATTTGTTAAATAATACTGAAAAATCAATCTGAATTTTGTTTTCTATTTTTAAATAATTTAAATACGTATAATATTAATAATCAAACATATTAAGTATCAGGTGCCCATTTAATTTTTGCAAAGCTGGACAAGTCATTGATTCTTTTAAGATAAAATTTATTGAAAAAAGTTAAGGAGTTAATTGTTTTAGTTAATCTATTTTTTTCTTAAAAAAAAGTTATAAATTAATTTGATAAAATCTTATTAGCACAACGAATTAAGATAAATTAATGCAACGTTATAATTACAATAAATAATCATGAGAAGTAATATGGATCCACTGAAAAACCATGTCCCTATTCCAAAGATTCAGCCCCTTTTTATTATAATTATTGAATTATAATTATTTGTATTATAATTAATGAACGAAAATTATAAATGGGAAGTTTTTACATCGCTTAAAGTGAATCAGTCTCAATACAATAATTTTGACTGAGTCAAACCGGTTTACTGGTTTTAATCCGTTATGTTTATTAAACTCTTAAATATATAGAAATGTAGCGCTGTTATTGTTATTGACTAACTATTTGATTATAATTTGAACATTTCTTTATTGCTAACAAAAACAAAATCCTTAGATCAGTTAAAAGTATTTAGTTCTTATCTTTTATTGTTGAAATTAAACAAAAATTTAGTTTTAAACAAACGTGTACATAATTAAAAAAAAAAAATTAAGAAGTTTTAACGTATTAATATTTAAATGAGCAAAAAACGTCATTATATTTTTATATAATAAATTAAATTATAACTGTTTACATAATATATCACAAAACTTGTACTTTATAAAGTATACAACTAATTTGTGGTCTATATATAATAAGTTAGTAATTGTATTTGTGTTTTATCTCATAGCTGATTTTGTTGTTATAAAAATAATAATTGAATAAACTACGAATAACGTCTATTTTCCTTATTAATTGGTTTTTTATCGGAAAAATTGAATTTACTGCACTACTTAGTGTATCACTCGCAACAATACAGTTATTAACCTTCGATTAATCGTTCATCGCGTACATAACTATGAATACTTAATTAAGTCGATCGCGAAATACTTTGAACACGTGTGTTATGCTATCCGCGAAGTCTAAAATTTTTTTTTATTCTTAAATCTTGATCTTAGATATCAATTGAAATTTAACAATTACTATTATGACGTCTAGATATTAATGAAAGGCAACCGAGGTACACGACCGGGGGAACTAACATTAATACAAAATAATTTGCAACGGTTATTTAGGTGACTATACAGAGTATAAAACCAGTCTGCGGTTGTTAGTTCGAGCATAGGTCCACGTACTGTGTGAAGTGTTAGTTTCCACAAAAGTGTTTAAGTAAAGAAGCATGTCTGGCTCCTTTTTAATCTTTATGGATCTATCACAGACAAATTGTTTTTTTTTTTGTAAATCATAACTATTATACACTGATTATCGATGTACTTTCCAAAATTGATATCAATTTGTATTTATTTGTTAGCTTCTAATTGTTATGGTATCAGAGTTCGTAGAGAGGGTATGTAAACAAATATTTAATTAATGAAAAATTATTTTCTAAAGCTTCTATTCTTATTTAAATTAAATTATTATTATTTTTTATGTAAACTTCATCAATTCGTGTTAGAATGAGTTGATAAAATAAATTATTTTTGAATCATTTTATAATAAACTAAGCAAAATAATTAAATATATATTTTTACACATTCATTAGTCTATATTGTGTGCATTATATTTAGAATTACAATTGGTATATGTGACACGTGTAGTTTTATTAGAATTATTAACCTATAATTACAAAATAGAACTTCTCAGCTTCACATCAAAACTAAAAAAGTGTTCAATATTAATTACTATTATGCATAATTATTGAACATGCATATTTTTAATATTGTAAACATTTTAAGAATTTTCATAACGACAAATCATAAAGTACATTTAGTCATCATTTTAATCCAGTAGTTATTAATATTAACACATTTTCGAGTGATAGTTTTTATCACTCGAAAATGTCATTTATTTAAAATCAAATATTTGAAGTCATGTCTTTTAAATCATTGATTTTAATAGAAATTTCTCTTTTAAGTTCATTTTCCAGGCTATAAATATTGTGGACCAGGCACAACATCCGAAAGAATAAGAAAAAATGAAACTGCAATCAATGGGTTGGATGAAGCATGTCGATATCATGATTTGGTATACGATCGAACTACAGCTTTGAAGCATAGAGTAGAAGCGGACATCCGGTTGGAAAACGAAGCATGGTCTCGAGTAAAAGCTAAAGACAGTTCTAGTTGGGAAAAAGCGGCAGCATGGATAGTGACTAATATTATGAAGATGAAACGTAAACTGGGAACTAGATTACTTAGGAAAAATTTTAATCGGACTGGTAAAACTGGTTAAATACGTAATAATATAATTAATCGATTTTTGGCTAATTATACTAAGGGTTGGGTCCCGTTTGTTAAAAAATGCTGTGACTAGAATTTATTCTTTGCATTGTAAATGTAGAATCCTTTATTGGAGAAAACATTTTTTTTTTAAGTATTGAGTAGTTAAACGTTTTTTTAATATACACGATTTGTTTTTCAAAGAATCATTTTATTCAGCCCGGAGTAGAAGATCTATTATCTATTATCTCAAGTATGTAATATCTAGATATTAAATACGCTTACGTATTTTAATAATAATTACTCATTCTATTAAATTATTTCTGGTGAATACATACCAATACGTAACCAGCGAATCATTACTGAGGTCATATTTCCCTAAACAGTAATCATTTTTAGGCCAATTTCTAAATGAATATCATTTAGTTTTTAAATCTAGATTAATATATTTATATTCTTGCAACTGTTAATATACATAAATTTAATAAATTTATTATTTTTATCTTCAATGCGAAGCTGAGATGGTATTGGTTTTACTATGATGTGCGTTTTTTTATGATAAATAGTTTTGATTTAGATATGCTTAAATAATTAATTCAGCTATTATAATAATTTAATGAAAAAAGATAAATTGACATTATTTTTCAAGTCGCAGCATAAAATGTGTGTGCATTAATTTATACTAGCATAAGCAATTTTTTGAGTGAAAAAACCCGAAATTATGATTTAATATTTATATATTATAGTCTTAAATCTGATAAATTTTAAATAAAATATAATATAAATTATCATTCACATAATAACAAACATAGACACAATTCAAGTTTTAATCTTTAATTCATGACACCTCGTTATTTCTAAAACGCACTAAAGATATACATATTTTTACTTAATAAAAAATTAATTTAGATTAAATCTGGAATATTTTTTATATTAATAATTTAAGTTTACCGTGATTTCTCTATATTTGCATACATATTAATTAAATTCACTTGAAAAACTATTGTTAACCTTTGAAATAACCACGTTTTTCATTTCAATGGATTAAACTTAATGTATACAAACATTTAATAAAGTCAATAACCAATAAATTATGAAAACATTTCTACACTTAAACGTGCAATGCTATTAAATATCAGTAATGTGAATTCAAATTAATTAAATTTATTTTAAAAACATAAATTTATTTACGAATTAAAATCAACGTACAAATTAAAACATGATTAAAAATACCAAAAGTAAATAGTACTCAGAGACTGCATTTCTTATCAAATTGACAATAAAATTTAAAAAGTTGGATTTATATAAAATGATACTCTTATTTTTCTATCGTTTTAATAATTAATAATTCAAATATAATATGTCAAATGTAAAAAATAGGGCAAGTTGACACTTACAAACTTAAGTTAAATATCTATAGAGAGTATAATATAGTACAGTTAATATAAAATTTTTTAGAAATATTATTTTCTGTATTGAGAGAAATTAGAAAAATTGGTTACTAATTATTGGAGTAATTCTACCAGATAACTCACTTTAATAGTAATCCTGAATTATTATTAATTATTGTATTTTAAGTAACAACGCTACTTCAACTAATCATAAGTTATTCACTTAAGATATAAGAATTTTTATACGTATATAACAATCTCATCAACGTTCTTTGGTTTTTTCTATTTATTAATTTTACTGTTAATCAAATAATTCATAAAACCATAATTTAAAATCCATATATGTAGTATTTGATTTTTAAATTAAAGATAACGTTTAACAAAATATTTATATTCTTAATAATTTTTTTAGGTAGATCAGACAATGAAATTTTAGACCAACGAGATCCAGCGTGGTATAATACACTAATACTGTATTAAATGGAAATAATTTCTATATAATACATTGGGCTTTTCAGTAAATCCAATTATATGATATATCACTTAAATTAGGTGTACTTAATGTAAGTAAATTTACTTATTGTGAAACTTTACACAAATTAATATTATGTGAAAATAAATTAAAAGCAAAAACGTAAGATTTCATCTGAAATTTAAGTTTTTGTTTATAATTTTTTCCAGTTATTCCAAGAGTAAATGCTTAACTTTCTCTCTCCTTCCTATACGAATAAGTTAATATACAATGTGTCATTTTCTATATAAAAATTAGTGATGGAAGTATCAAATATTACAATGAACTACTCTAATGATAGTTTCATATAATAATGTAATAAACAATGTAGTCCTAATTTTTAATTATGGGCAGAAAGGGTATGCAACGAAAAAGAATTCTTATCCGTGCACTTTAGTCAAAATAGAGTATCGCTAAACATTACCCCGCTCCCCATCTTTTCTAAATTTTTAAATGCTAATGCCACAAATATATATTTTTGGTTAATATTCAGTTGTTGGAAGTAGCGCTCTATTTGTAGAGCGTCACTTTTTTGTAGTGATATCGATAACAAATTACTTTTTTTTAGAATTAGCGTCAAAAAATTGTTTTTTAGTAGCGAAAATACTTTGCTAATAATAATTATAATTATTTATATTCATATATACGATATATATAATAAAATTTGTAAAAATAGTCAAAACAGTGGTAATTACTATTTGTCGGTCCACTATTTTTAGAAAATCCATTCAAAGTTATCCACAATCAAAGATAATATCACATTAATCATTAATATTTCGATGATCAAAACGTAAAAACTTATAGACTAAAGTTTAAATAATAAATTAACCCATGTTAGATGTCACATCCGTTTCAGCATATCCAATAAACCCACTGGTATTGACTATTTATATCGAATCATATATACGCTGTATTGAGCCATGATGAAAAATAGGGGAGGTAATTCATTATTATGTATATTTTATACTAGAATTGGAATGTATAAAACACGTATTATACGTAGAGCCACATTTGAACATTTGGCACCCCTTTTAGCAAAAACAAAAAAAATGTCATAATTAGTAAAACGCTACCACGATAAATATTTTTTTGGAACAGCCTAAAAGTCCGCCACGGACTTCCAAAAAATTACAATATATTCCAAAAAGTTTCAGAAAATTAAATACAACACATAATATGATTTGGTGGAGATATATTATATCAATACCATATATTATGGTGTAGGTGGATTAATTATATATATATATTAAAATATGGTAGATATATTATAATAACTACCGATGTATATTCTATTGCCCGTCTGCTGCGCCTTACCATCCGACTTCCAATTTGAAACTACCTGTATATTGTTAATATAATAACTACTGATGCATAAACCATTGCCAGTCTGCTGCGGTGTATTTGCGTTGCCGTCGAGTGACAAGAACGGTTGGAACCTCTAAAATTTTATGTGCGCTGAAATAACATAAAGTGTAACTTGCACGTATTTATACAGCCATAGAATTAATCGATTAACCTCATCTACAAATAAACGTAGTTAACACGAATGAAACCAATTTTTCACTTGATATTTTAATTTTTACTTTATAATTTATTTATTATTATTTACTTATTTTACTTTAGATCGTAATTTATTAAGAAACTATTTGTTATAATTTAGTTATATTACATTAGTTCATGTCCAATTTTGAAACAATGTTGTTAAAAATTATTATATTTTGAATTCACACATATTTTAGTTTTTTTATTTATATACTCTATGCTTTTGTGTCAATGTGTCTTTGTTATGAAAACTAAAATTTATTTTCTTAATATTATATGAATTATATAATAAAAAAAAAAAAAAAAAATACATATATGTATGTTTTTTATGTATAAATCCTATAAAATATCAATGATTAATATAATATTATTAAAAAATTAAAGAAAGTCTTATTACTAATAATTATATATTTGTTAATACTTTAATTACTAGCTATAAATTTAAATATTCAGTATCAAACTTCCTCTCTCTATATACAAATATATAATATACTGGTTTTAAAATTGATATCATATATAATTATTTTATTGAAATCATCATGTTAATCAAATTTAAGATAATGTCCTTAAAATGCAAATAATTGTATACTTTACTCTGTTGATAATATAAGAGTAGATCCAATTTTGTATTTAGTGTGGTCGGACGAGCAATGACTGATCTATTGGTAGTTATTATTATATCAACAATATACGGGCAGTTCCCAATTGTAATTTAGTGGAAGTTAGACAAGGCGCAGCAGACAGCAATAGTTATACATCGGTAAATATTATATCTACCGTATTATAATATATATAATTAACCCACTCCCATCATAATAAATAAATAAATAATAATGGTAGGTATTTAATATAACCCCACCATATCATATTATGTGTGTTATAATTTTCTGGAAGTCTGTGGTGGACAGTATATCTTTAGGTCGTCTCTTTTTTTATTTATTTATTTGAAACTATAAATAATTTAATTTACTGAGTGATCAAGAAATCTTTTTTTGGAATTTCAAAATAGCCATTTTTAGCCTTATTCTTACAAAAAAAAACAGCACAGTAGAATCGCGGCTCAGGGTAGACGTGGCATAGTTGAGACAAGTATAGATGATATACATCTATCATAAGAAACGCTTTGGTGCAAATCTGTAATGTTTAATTTAAAAAATTTGATGGATTATTCAAAAAGCAAAATAAACTCTATTTCCTTATTTATAGTCTGATTAGTAGTTATATGATTTAAAAATATAATTCATAAATAAATATTTTTTATAGCAATTAGATATAGCATTGAAAATGATTAAAAAATTTAATATTGTATTTTTTACGGAGAAATTATAAAGTAGTCATTACTTTTATGGCAAACGTATATAAAAGTTGAAAGTCTTGATACAATACTATATTTTGTTATTTATAAATAAATATACTGGTCTACAAGGAATTTTCATCAGAGACCAAAATATACTTTTCTAAACCCATTTTTGCACCGATTTCTACAATTAGTTTCATATATAGACTAAATAATAACAAAGTCCTTCTAATTAATATTTATGTCTATAAATAAAGTGCGTATGAATAATCAATTAATATATTTTAATTAAAAAAATACGTAACAAGCATAATGTATTATGTGCAGTATATTAATATAAATAATTATTTAAACACCAAGAGTAGCATAGAAATGATTACTGAGGCTTCTATTTAAATGATTTATTACAATAAAAATACAAAAAAATAGTGATTTTAATGAAATTTTGAGTTTTCCTCATAAATTTACTGTTAATAGTAATTATATAAGTTTTTGATCACATATCAATTTAAAAAATAGAATATTTTATTACTCATAAAATATTCTATTTAATGATATCAATTCATAACTTATTGAGTTAACATTGTGTTTAAATGTTCAATATTTTTAAATTATAAACTTACATAAAAATTAACTTTAAAAGTTCAAAATAATAACTTAAAAATGTCATTTTGAATTTAAATTTAGCACGGATTATTGTTAACATATTAAAAATCAATAATTAGATAAATAGATAAATAAATCTAATTTCAGACTTGAAATCAGTGTAAATATTTGGTTTAGTAATGTATAAATTGGTCTATAATCATTAGAAATATTTTATTTTACTTTGCAATTCAGTATAAAAACCAATTTTATACTCCTATTAATTTGGAGATATTTAATTAAAAAAAATTTTTTTGAACAAGTCAATTTTTAACAGTAGCGTAATTTTAAAATAATTTTTTATAATTTTTGGTGATAATAAATTCAGCAAGATTAAAATTGTGATCTTTGGATGTATTGGTCATTAAAATGAGTCAAATGAGAGCGTAGAAAAAGAATGACATACATAAAAAAAAAATCCATGTAGTAAAATATTTAAATATGAATAAAAAAATTTTTTCTCACAAGGGGAGACTACAATTATGGGATCTTTGATATTTATTTAAATTATTCAATCTAAATAAGATAAAAATCTAAGAAACATTAAATTTTTATTCCATCTCAAAAAAGAGTTATGAAAAAAAAAGATAAATACATTTTTTGGAACGGGTGGGATTCAAACTTCAATCGTAAAAGACTATTATATTTGACATAGCCATCGTACACTACATGAATTTCTAGTTAAAAAGTTTAAAAAATTTAAGCTAGTTTAAAAATTCAAAGCAGCTTTTCTTAATTTAAAAAAGGCAAAATTATCAAAATAAGTTATTAAAATAAATATTTAAGTAATTACTCAAATAATTTCCAAAAAAAGTATTTAAATTACCACCCAACTGCTATTAATAATTATGTATTTAAAAAAATCTTCAAATACAAAAAAAAAAATTTGAAGCTATTTTTTTTAATAAAAAATTTGTTAGTTACACACTTTAAAAACATTTATTCAAAATGTTTATCAGACATGTTAGTCTTTTTTTAGTGATTGTAGTACCACCAACATTAAAATCTCTTTCAACTGATGCACTGTTAGGTAGAGGAGTATTGTGTTTAATGAAAAACTGAAAACAAAGTACAAAATTTATAGTACAATTATACTACTTATATTTATTTTAATTATCTAATTAATCTAACTTTTTTAATTGTGAGTAAATTATGTAAACATTCTAATGTTTATGCTGTAGATATACCCAAGAATCTATCAATTTCATCACTAACTGTTGACTTTTCCTCATGAACATTTTGTAGAGAAGCTAGATAAATCATCATGAATTTGGCCATAATCTGTATACCTAAAAGAAGAGAGTAACACTTAAATATTAACATCAACATAGTTTGTTTTTATTACACTAATCAGTGTACAAAAATATAAATATTCAGAATAAAACAATGAATATATAATAAATTTAAATATATAGGAACATGAGATACTTATCAATTTTATAGAACAAAATTAGCTAAAATAAAAATAATTAAAAGTGTAAAATAGTAAATATACTAGGTTGATAGAGTAATTTTTTTTATTACTTCGCACTACATAAACAAAAATTATTGTTTTGAGATGAATTCTCTTAAAATTATATTGCTTTATAGTTATTGTTATAATATACCATATAGTATAGCAGTTACCAGACCTTACATATAATTAGGAATTGTGTAATAATGTATCATTGGTCTATATTTATAAATTAACTCTTCAATAGTATGCAAGAGATTACCAAAATATAAGTTAATAGTAAATCAAGGCTTATTGAAATTGGTCCCATTATATTTTGATAATGACTTAAAAATTCAATATCACATATAATAAATCTGTAAATATATGTATATATACAATTAAATAAAATCATACTAGCCAATTCATCCATAAAAATTCTAAATTTAAGTTCATTACTTTTAATTAATTTATTCAGCAACACCACCGCATCATATAATAAATTCCAACGCGTCTCCTCGTTGGGTGTTATCAAATAAACGTCAAGATTTTGTTTGATTAAATCAGTTGACTTGGTCGAGCACCCTTGTTTGTTCCATAAAGCAGTTGACTTGGCAAAAGTGATTCTAGACTGTTTTTTAAAAGCAGCATTGCACAAAACTTTTTTGGAGTCTTATACAGAATGACAGGATTTAAGCGTTGTGATGAGGACAGATAAAATAAAGTAGTCGACACGGTATAGTTTGTGCGGTGCCGTTTATTCCAATAATGTTAAACATAAGATATATATAAAAGCACTTAAAGTTATTATAAATAGTGTACACAATAACTAAATAGAAAAACACCAGCTAAAGTAAAACAGACACAAGATAGGCACTGTCGATGAGAAAAAGGCCGATGTGTATCGAACGATGTCACGGAGATGACTTAATGTATATTTGCGGCGGGTTGTAGATGGACGTGCGGTACTTGCTGGACTTTGTACCGTGGCGTATCGCGCGCGGTGTTAGTCAGTCAAACTGCCATATGCACGTAGTGGGACGACGGCTGATAAAGGTGTCGCGGGACTCTGTGTATTGCAACGCCGCGGAACCGTGTCAAGAAATTGACTACACTAACTCCAAAAATAACAACAATTGTATATTATTATCCTAATAAATTGACTTCATTCTAATTCTAATATGACTTATTTTATTCTTTTTAGTGAATTTTTTTGGTTGGATTTTTTCTTTGTATAAAATTTTGTAATAAATAAATACAAATTTTATATTTGTTCAAGTATTTAATATACATTGATTAAATGAAAGGTTTTAATAAAACTTGCCTCGTGGCATGAATTTTCGGGACCCTAAGGCGTCAATCGCATAAAAAATGAATTAAACACCTTTAAAGTTATTATAATCCTCGCAAATCAGAGATGTAACTACCCTCTACGTTTAAAAAACAAATTAAATATTATGTTAATTGTTAAATAAAAATAAATTAAAGTTGGTGGGGTTTCAATCATCCATAATAAAATATTTTTTTATGGAATCAAATTAAATTAAAATATTGGGAAGGGGATTTATGCTTTTATCCCACTCCCTTCCTATAAATAATATACGCCTCGTGTATACGCTTTTAATTTGCAAGAGCTCCTTAAAATAGGTCATGCACTCCGAAAATTTTTTTTTAACTTTTAAATTAAAATTAAAAAAAATATTCATTAATTTCTATAATGTTTGAAACTTAATAAATTTATAAAAATTTTAAATAAAAATTATGTGAAATTATACCAAAATATTTTCAAATAGCTTTAGGATATTGTATTAGTATTAGCAGAGTAATTAATTTATCATTTAAGAGTAATTCGGGATTTATTAGAATTTTTATATTTAGGCAGCTGAAAATAAAACGTCTAATAATATTAATAGTCCAAAATATATTAGAACAATAAATTGCAAACTACACAACAAATTGGTGATAAATTTATTGATTATCTTTAATTTGGTGGACAGACAAAAACGATTACTGAAGTCAATCGAGTCAAGAAGTAAGAGCGAGAAATCCAAATAACCGGACGATCAAAGTATCATAAAGGTATAGTAAAATTAATGCACTGCGTGAGAAAACGCAACTTGGCAGGCAAATAGTAAGATAGAAGAATCCTGTCTTATTCAATAGCCACTCAATTGAGTAACCTGTGGTATAGAAATAACTTAATAAACAAACTGGCAACGTTGCTTTGAGAAGTCTGAAAGAACAGAGCGTTAAAAACGTTCTTAATACTTATAAACACCACGTTTATGAACTGATCTTTCATTTGAATTTGTCGCTCATACTACTTATGGCTCGATTGACTAGTATTAATTTTCTCAGATATATATGTATCGAATTGATAATAATCAATGAATTTGTCGCCGTTTTTAAAATACTTTTTCCGACTGCTGGACACAGTTATTGGAATTTGTCTCTCAAATAAACTAAAATTATTATTAATAGACCATTCTGTTAGGTTATCTTGCTATTCGTTATTTATCGCCCATTAGTATTGTAAAATCTATATTACAACGGCATTGAACAGTTTTAGTACAAATTATTGAAGCACCACTTATAATACATTATAATTATTCTGTTTTGTTCTATTTTTAACAGCTATGTTGATATGCGTGATGTGGAAATATAAATTTTCTTATTACATTTTATTTAACAAAAAATACATGTTATATATATATATATATATATTCCTATATATAAAATGTTATTTAATTAGATTTACAGAGTGATTGATTTATTATTTACCACTAAATTTCTCCCAAATTAATAATCATAGAATATTTTTTTGATTTTTTTGCGTGCTATTTATCTCTCGATTTATAAATGATTAAATACTTTTTTTCAAACTTTTTTTTAGATGTCAATATACATTTTTAAATTACTCGTATAATAAAAAATTATCTAATTTAAGAAATGACTTATTTAGGAAATGCGCGCCTGTGTAAATTCTTATGATAAAAATAGTCATAAATATATTAGAACAATAAATTAAAAACTACACAACAAATAGGTGACAAATTCATTGATTATTTAGAATTTTATGGGAAAATATCGAAGACAATCGAGTAGTAAGAGCGATTAATTCAAATAATCAGATGAACAAAAGTCAATGATGTATAGCGTAATGAACATACTGCATGAGAGAACGTGACACGGCGGCCAAATGATAAAATCCTACATTACTCTCAACAGTTGTTTTCACGGGCCCGCGGTGTAGAAATTAGTGCATAAGTAAACTGGCAACGTTGCTTTCACTTCGTCTGAAAATCTAAAGGAAGATCATTGAAATCATTCTTAAGGGTTCTGAATTCCACACGTTGCCAGATTCCCTATTAACTCGTCTATTATTTGAATTTGTCGCCGTTTAGAAAATATTTATTCGTCTGCTGATACGGTTGTTTGAATTTATCGCTCAAATATATTAAAATTATTGCTATTAATAGACCGCCCGGTTGAGTTATTTTTCTATTCCTTATTTATTCCCATTAGTATTGTAAATAAATTGCATTTATAAAATGTATGTTGTTTATTATGGCTGATTTACTATTTTTCGATACAAATTACTTAATACATTGAAGTCATTATTTTTTGTTCTTTTTTTTTTAGCAGAAATTTTATGTTTGATTGAAGATTTAAATATTCTATTAATATTTTATCTAAGATTATTTATATAATTCATAATAATTTAATCGATTATGCATTTCGATAATTTTTAATTTAAAATTATAAATAATTGTTTACAAAATTATGAACATAATAAATGTATAAAACAATTATATAAAAATTGCGTGAAATATTAATAATCATATTTTTTATATATACACATAATATGTTATTTAATTAGCTTTACAGAGTTATTGATTTATCACTGATATCTAAATTTCTCCTAATAATCTTGAAAATATTTTTTTTGGTTTTGATTATTTATATAATATTAAGTTATAAGAAGTAAAATTTTTTTTTAAGTCTGTGCTTAATCCTTTAAGGATACCGACTTTATTTATTAAATGGCAATATACATATTTAACTTACATATAAAATAGAAAATGATCTAATATAAAAAATGACTGGTCGGTAATAACTATTTGGACCAGTACTTAAGAAATTATTAGTATTTTTATATTTATGCAAATAGAAATGCGTGGCAGTGAAATGTCTAATGATAAAATTAGTCATAAATATATTAGAGCAATAAGTTAAAAACTACACAACAATTGGTGACAAATTCATTAATTAGTTTGAATTCGAGATATTTGAGAAAATTAATACTGAAGTCAAATGGGTAAAGTAGTAAGAGCGACAAATTCAAATAATCCGCTGAACAATACTAAAGTGTCATAATTCTATAGATAATAAAAATATTGCATAAGAGAACGTGACTCGGCGGCCAAATGGTAGGATACAAAATATACTGTCTCACTTAGTAGACACTCAGTAGTGTTTTCTGTCGCAGTTCAGAAATAAACAAACTGGCAACGTGGCTTCCATAAGTCTGCATAATCAAAAGGGACAGAGCGTTAAATTAGTTCTTAACGCTCACCAATACCATGTTGCCAGTGGACTTGTTTTCTTTAAATTGATCGCTGTTTTTAAAATAGTTATTAAATCTGCTGAATACGGTTGTTTGAATTTGTCGCTCAAATACACTAAAATTATTTTTATTAATAGGCCGCTCGCTTGAGTTATTTTTCTATTTGTTATTTATTTTATTTTCTATTTGTTATTTATCGCCCATTAATATTGTAAATAAATTGAATTTATAAAATGTATGGTGTTTATTATGATGGTTAATACTAATTATTTAAGCACACTTATACTAAATTTTAGTTTTTTTTTTTTGTTCTATTTTTAGTAGATATTGTTATGATTAATGGATGTTTAATATTTTCTTTTTATATTTTATTTGATACTAACTATAAATAGTAATTTATATTAATTTAATCAGTTATACATTCCAATAAATTTTGTTTCACTTTTTAATTAAAATTTAAAAATATTAATAATTGTTTACAAAATTGTAAACTTAATAAATGCATAAAACTGTTAAATAAAAATTATGTGAAATTTCACACAAAATATTTTTTAAATGTTCCTTTAATGAGTGATTAATTTATCAATGACTACTAAATTTTTCCTATTGTAATAATAATTTTAGAAATATTTTTTTTGTCTTTGTTGAATACTATTTATTTCTTATATTATAGGTGGTTAATTACATTTTAGGTTCGTCCTTTATCCCTTATAAGGATACCAACTTTGTTTTCTTAAACGACAACATACATATATAACTTATTTATAAGATAAAATTGTAAAACTTTTATTTAAAAAAATAATTTTTGAATCAGTACTTTGAAAATTATTACAATTTTTATGATTAGACAGGTGAAAATACAATATTTCCTTAATTTATTTGAGTACTATTGATCTTTTAATATACAACTAGTTAAACACTTTTTAAGGTTGTCTTCTATCTAAGATGGCAACATACATTTTTAACTTAATTCTATAACAGAAAATGGTTTAATTACAAAAATTACTAATAGATAATAATCATCGGACCAGTACTTCAAAAGTTATTAGATTTTAATTTTTAGGCAGAAGGAAATGTGCGCCCGATAAACGTTTAATAATAAAAATGCTCATATACGGTCATAAATATAATAGAGCAATAAATAACACAACAAATAAGCGACAAATTCATTGATAATATTTTTAATTTGCTGGGCAGATATTAAAAGAAATGAATACTGAAGTCAATCGAGCAAAGTAGTAAGAGCGATAAATTCAAATAATCAGATAATCAAAATTTAAGTATCAATAATGTATAGTACAATAATGATATTACATAAGAAAACGTGACTCGGCGGCCAAATGGTAATATAGAAAAAATCTTACATTGTTCAATAATCACTCGGCTGTATGTTTTCGTGTGTCCCGTATGTCCCGCGTCTTAGAAATGTTTTCATAAGCAAATTGGCAACGTTGCTTACACAAGT